AACTCTTTTACATTGCAGTTTACTTTACAGTGCAGTTTAATATCGGGTGGTACTGATGGTATATATTATTTCATAGTACATTTGGAACTTGGCACATCTACTTACTACTTTAATATATGATTGTTAGTAATGTGAGAGATTTTAGTTATAATTTGTTGAGAAATCCATTACAATCTTGTATAACCTCGAAAAAACAACAAATTACAAAACCAATTAAAACTTTGACAATCATCAAGCTCATAAATATAAATATTAAATTTGTACCTTGAGCATTAAACATTACCAAATTACCATCTGTCAAAGAGTACGTACACAATTGGTGTTTGTATACAACGACTGTTAAAGTTTTCTTTAACTTACTTGTCTCCACATCCAAACATTCGTGCAGCTTAATATCAGGTGGTACAGATGGATATATTGTTTGATAGTACGTTTGAAACCTGGTACATATAAACTTTCTTCTTTCTGTGAGCAGCCTAAACAAAAAAAAAACATATACATATTTGGTTGTACACAAAAAGTATAAAATGTGCAAAAGTAAATACCTGTAACCCTAGTGATTTCAAAAACACTGGATTCTTCGGTGCCGAGCTTCGCCATGGTTAAATTCTATAAATAATCCTGGCTAACCAACAAAAGTTATGTATCTTCCTACACAATCAATTACACTCTGCATCTTCTATATCCATATTCCTTTCGTGTGTTTTATTTAAAACTACATAATGCTGCGTGTGTTAATATTTAATTTAGCTAATTATTAGCTAAAACAACAATGACCTGTTCGCCGACCGAAACATCATTTGGCATTTTTTCAGTGGGAAAGGAAACAGGTTGTGTATCCTGCAAAAAGAGTGCAATCGAAAAATGTGGAGGGAGTGGCTTAAATTAGACACTCTTCTCTCTGCTCTTCACTGTATCTTTCGATTCATAGGAGTCGTGTGGTGGATAACCTGAAATTTAGGCAACCTGCAAGGATTCGCGAAGGCGGCAGATTCGAATCGAATCAAATGTTGAGATTTATGAATCTATATTTTATATATAGATATGTTTTTGCATAAAGAAATGCAAGCGAAAACGTTAGACTTTGTGAATAAAAAAGGTTTATAGTTAGTCAAAATTTGTATTTGTGAATACACATTATAATTGTTTATAAGTATTAATGATTAAAAATAAGATTAAACATTACATTCTTGATATATATATATATTATATATATATATATCTATATATATATCTATATATATAGATTAGAGACCAACAAACGTCCTGTACCCACGCCTACAACTTCTTATATCCCATACAATATTTACCGTTTACCTAAAAATAAAATTATTGTTTTTTGAATTACTCTTCACACCAAAACATATTTTACAATATGAGCGATTCTGGAGATAAATGATTATGATTTACATTTGTATTGCTCTCAGATATAACAATAAGATAGCAAAAATAATGAAAGTTATAGTATTTGTAGGTAGTTTAATAAAATTGAAATATTCCACAAATATTTCATTACGGTACGGGAAGTTTCAGCAATTTGCCTTAAGGCACAATGCCACGCACCACTAGTTTATATACATATTATTACCAGGGTCGCTCCTGGGCTCCTAAGAACCCGCATGCCATTTTTTTAGCACGCCCCTTCCCTATTATTTTACCTGTTTTAACAGTTTATTATTAAAATTATCATTAATTAATATTTGGCTTTTAAAACATTTTACTTATTTATTTGGGCATTTTATGCGATTTATTCTATTGAGCAAATCATAGAGAGCAAAAATTCTAGCTTTCATTATTAACATAACACTGGTACTTCATGCTGGATTATTTTAATTTTATTAATTAAGATGTCGAAAATTGCACTTTAAACGTCTCCTAATTGATACCGTAAGGGCCGAATTGTATGTATTTATATCTTTACTTTCCCATTTGTTGTTTTAAAATGAAATTTAAAGATTAGTAAAAGATGCAAAAAATTATATACTTCTTGAATTAAATTTAATAAAAACTATATTGAATTTTCATATCCGAATCTTATGTTGGCGCCCCCTAAGGAGTGCGCTCGTTTTAAAGGTAAAAAAGTATTTTTTCGCATGCGTCGCATTAAAGGTAGGACCAGCCCTGATTAATACTTAATTTCATATTTCAAGTGAATTAATTTGTCAAATCCTGTTCATATGTGTATAATTCAATCTGCTAAACCATGTACTGTATCTTATATTTTTTTTAATTTCTGGCAGATCCCAGCCTTTTTGTTAATAATGATGTCAATATTTAATTTTTCTCATTCATTCAT